TTTAAAGACTTTAAATTTGTTCACCATTTTATGATTTTTATCACAATTAAAATTCTCATCAAGAGACTAAAAGTTTTATTCATATAATAGTAAAATAAATTAAATAAAAATAATTGGGAGCTATTCTCGATAAAAAAAATTTCATTTTGATATTTAAAGTTTAATAATCAACATAAGACTATTAAATAACCATGTTTAATAAAATTCATATGCAATTAGCTTAAGAGCATTATTAATTTGTATAAGCACAAAGAGAGTATCTCTATATCAACCTCCTATAACATGAAGTCAATATGAGATATATTGATGTCACCAAACTCATTAACCTTTCAAAAAAGTTTTACACTACTCTCTTGATATGTTACTTATTAAGATTATTTTTTAACACTAAAAAAATACTTAAATTAGATCACATAATAAAGATAAGCGGATTAAAGCGAGTTAAATTCTTTTAATGAAAGAGTTAAAAGACTATTAATATTTTGGTACCAAACATTGATCATTAAGAGCCCTACTCAAATGTCACATTAGCTTTCAACTGTTTTAACATGATGAAATAGAGGGCATTGAAAAAATTATGTCCTAACAAGTAAAAATAGCCAAGACTTCTAACAAAAAACTTATATTCATTAAAACAAGTTTCTTAACATTCCAAAAATCTATAAATGAATGTCTTAATGAAACATGAGTTTTTTTACGAAATTATTGTTTCACCTTGCGTGAATGATACAATATCAAATAAATGATACCTATTTATAGAGGAATGATAAGGGACACTACAATTCTTGATAAACACATTAATGAAAACATGTAAGAACATAACCACTCGATAGGTTGAAGCCATATTTTTGGCACTTAAAGATGTTGGGGATATAAGTATTATGCCCACGATTCAATTATTCGTGTAATCTATTGAATACATTATTATTTGATAATTTATTTTAATATATGACAATAGTATTTTATTATCATATCGTTTAATTTATGTGATAAAGTTTTTGATTAAATTTATAGATTTCACATCAAAATAAGGATATTGATAATGAGAGTAAAACCTTTTATGATTTAATTTAAAATATTTTTTATCGTTGGATCATCAAAATAAGACATTAGTGATATGGTAAGACTAATATATATGTGATAGTTTCTATAAGATAAAAATTAATTGATCTCATTAATTAAATAACATATATAGATTATACATATGGAGATATGATCAATGAACTGACCCAATAAAAGAATTTCTGATGGTTAATATTACCTTAAACTGTTAGTAGAGTATTCTCTTATTTTGATAAGATGTAAGAATTTTCTTAAACTTGATATCATCATAGTAATTGATAAGTCATTTATTATACTTTGATTTTTAACACCTATACTCATAGAACTGTAGTTGAAAAGATATTGAGTATGATTAAATACTTATAGAATTAATGATTGGTCAAGACTGAATTTGTCAACTTGGATAATAAGTTTAAACTCTATGTTGTTATTTATTATAATGATTAAATTAAGACATTGGCCAGGACAGTTGAATGAAGGAAGAAAAGAGTTTTTTTA